CATAATATTGACCACGCAGACAGCGCCATATGAAATTGAATACCCATTAGAAGAAGCCCGGCCAGACAAAATGGTAACATCCGACGATAGTGTAGTACAAACGCATTGACCTGGTACATTTGCCATTGAAATACCTACTGGAAAGGCAGCAAATACAAAATGAATTGAATATTAAACAAGCCCGATTGGAAACATCCGAAATGACATTAAAAGCCAAAGAAATGAAAATAATTATAATGACCCAACAAGTACTATCTGAACAGCAACAACATCGCGTACAATTAGAGAACTTAGAATTGAAACATGATCTTGAACTAATTCAATTACAATCAGAACAACCACAACAACCATCGTTATCCATTATCCACTCAGAAACCATCAGGTCAAGCGGTGACATATCCTACTCTATCATTAATGACAAAAGTAGGAACTACTGGTAAACAACTGATTGAACAACAACATGTTAAAATGAAAATGAAACAAGTATTGCGTTGGGCACTGCTATTACTAATGCTGATTATGTTTGGTGGCGCACTAATAAGTCGAGAAACAACATCAAACGATAGTAACTATGGTTATATTGATATTGAATTATTGTTATTTGGTATAGATATTAACCTTGTCTTCGAACATGGTGATCACTTTATTCCTGGTTTATTAGACGATAATAAAATTAAATTATTGAATCATTGGAACTGGTTCTGGCTGTATACGGTTCCATAATAAACAACAACATTTCCATAATAATAAATGTTCTGACCAGTTCTTCTGACGTCATTAGATCCTTTTCCTAATCCATTCTCGGATTTTCGGTGATATGTATATACAGCTGTATTTTTGTGAATGTAAGACATAGTGATTTGTTACTGAATAAAGTGAACAAGTTAGAAAATTAATCATGATAGCTTTACTACATAACACAGGATCTTGAGATTCCGTGGCTACATGCTTCCTCCAGGCTTTGATGGTTTTCTGGCTAAATCCTGGTTGAAAATCAATGGTAAACCTGTTAGGATCCTTGAAAATCTTATTTTGAATCCTGTGAGGATCCTGAAGATCCAGAAAAAAGAGTGAATCCTTGCAGAATCCTTATCACATCTGTCAAGGATCTGGAGCTGAAACATCAAAGATTTTCCCTAGGGGTAAAAGTCCACTATTTGGACAGTCCGTTAAGTTTTAGAATAATTATTGCTTCTCAACGAAATAACGTAAAAGCCTGAGCAAGGCCTCATTTTAGAGAGTAAACTGTCCCAGTGGCGGATTCAGAAAAAGTTTTCGGTGCTGGCGGATTTGGGCAAAAGAGCAAGTTTAGCAGCTTTGCTTAAGAGTTTATAGACGACACGATTTTTACTTCTTTTCCTTTATTACTATGTTGCACAAGAAGGAGAGTATAATAACTAATGTTCATGAGAGTTCGTTTGATTGTCGTATCAAAGAAGACAGTTTACTCTGTAAAATAAGACATTACCCAGGCTATTTTGTTACTTCGTTGCGAAGCTATAATTATTTCAAAACGTAATGAACTGACTTTTTTTGGTTGGGTTACATGGACAAGTCCTAATACGGATAGACAAATATCTTCAAATGAGTTGAAAAATCTGATCTTTTTACATATGAATGATATAAAGATTACTTCCTTCACACATTAGTAACATCTATGATAAATCCATCTCTTGTACCATCGACAATATATTTTAAACAGCACAATGCTTGATTTATATTCCAATTGAAATTATATTTGTCCATAGCTTGTTTCATCTAGTTTATTATCTAATTGCATATTATGTTGATTTTTATGCCATGTACATATTTTTCCCTGACTCTTATATAAATTTAAGGAGTAAATGTACTTTTGATCAGCAGATTTTTCAGCATGATCTCACATTTTTATTTCTCAACAAAGTATAATGTACAACACCAACATATTCACTGAAATATTAACCAAATGAACAATATTTTCACAATTTTATTTATATCTATTTACAAATTTAGAGCTGTGCCAACTTTCTTGGGAGGTCCTTTTGCTTTTCGTTTGCCTAATAGTTGAATACACTAGAAAATCATTGAATATATCATTGACTAGATGTTTATCGTTCTCGTCAGTGGCTTGCATTCAATGATTTTCTGGTGTGGCAACAATTCTGTTGGCTTATGGTACCATTAGAATCATGCAGCTATCCGCTTGGCATAAAAGTATATTCGTGTAAACATTCTGTTGGATTAGCAATTTTATTTAACTTGTATAACACGTATTCAGCCCTTAGGTAAATGAAAAGCGAAAAGGCCTCCCAAGAAAATTGGCACAACTCTAAATTTGTAAATAGATATAAATAAAACTGAAAATATTGTTCATTTGGTTAATATTTCAATGAATATGTATCATGTTGAAAAATTTGGTGATCAAAAACTTGATACCCAATTTACGCGATTCTCTGTATATTGATTGACTAAAATCCTAGAACTGATATTTTTTAAATACACTCGAAGCTATTTGTATAATAATTCAACATTTGTAGGAACATATGTGTGCTACATCAATTATACTCGAACATTTATAATGTATATCTGAACGTTTCCATCGATCTAATATTGTTTGTTGGCAGTGTGGTCATAAATCACGATCATGATTGCCTGCACAACTAAATATAGGAAAATTTCTGACTGCAGTATTTTGTTAATACTTGTTCTCTAGTTAAGGGTTGATTGAAATAATCTTAATTGCCCCTGACAATAATGGATTATTGCATAAGTTAAGAAAGAAAGGTGTTTGCCTTGAACTAGTTGGGAGGTTTGATGAATACTTATTTAATCGACATATCACAACAGTACAAGTCATCAAAACTTCTGTTCAGAAAGCAGCATCTAATTCTGAGACTGATTCTAGTGAAAGTATCATAATCCCGAGGACCAAAAAATATTGAGAGAAGATTTTTTCGGTTTTCGAGAAATCCTTGTTGGGGTGGGGATCCAGCAGGGTTTTTGAGAAGTATTTCCACGACTTGTGAGTTGTACAAGTTTGTCAGTTTATATATATTTCCGTTTTACTATGAAATGAAACACCTTTTTTGTAGAAACTAGAAAGTTGAAGTCAAGAACGGTATGGTTCTCTAATTCTAGTTCTAACTGACTTAGTACCTATAGCGTCAGCCGACAAACGAGGAAATCGTTTTTTCTTGAGAGCGTCAAGTTTGATTGTTCATCCGCCAACATTTTTTCATTTTGCTGCTGTCACTGATTTTTTTTTGCAAAAACGGTTTTGGTTAAAAAAAGTGCATTTTAGTATTTTCAAAAATTGTTTCGCTGATTTTTTCCATTAATTCACAAGAACCCATTTGTTTCTTTTATGTTTTATAGTATTTTAAACTCTAAAACGAAAAAGGAATGAGAACCTTTCAAAGTTCGAACGAGTATGTTGGCGTAGGTCTTTGCGCGAAATGGACAGCGCATACGTCTTCCAAAAGTAAAGGTGTAAGATCAAATCTCTCTTCAACCTGTATCTTTTTCTTTTTTTCTTTTGATGTGGCTTATGCCGTAAGACTCTTGTAAGATACATAGGTAGGATTAGAAAATGATGCATTAATGTGTCTATGGTCAGGCATACTGAAGTGTCTACCTCGATTAGACACTGCAAGTGTCTTACAGTAAGACAGTCTAATACGCCTTTTTCTGATCCGACTTATGGGTTTTACTGTAAGACACAATATTTTGTAGAGTGTTGCTTCCCAAAATGACATGTTTAGACATCGAATACAATGACTTCTACCTGATCATCGAAAAGCATGCAATCTCCTAGTGCATAATGGACATTACAATGCTTTCATAACAAAAACACGGTTCTAACAACTATCTATAGATCATAAAAACAAAGTTCTTTGTCAGCTGTAGAAAGAACGAGACATCGTTCGCCCACTAGACCAGATGACCATATCTCTTTAGTATATGAGATTGTTTCTTTCAGTTGGCCAGCTCTAGTCATGATATACAACTCTCGACTGTTCACTGCATAAGTCAGCCATTCACCAGTTGGAAACGAAAGAAGATGATACCCGTACTTAGAAGGTGGAAATGTGACATTGTGGAGAATATGCATTAATCGATCACGCACTTGAAACTCAACGTATTTCTTCTCCATCCACACCGTCACTCCTATACATGTCCCATCAGCTGCGAATCGAAGTTGAACAATCCTCTCATCTGTTTTACAAGAGGCAGGTGGTTGCCATTGCTTCACCATCTTCCATTCAGACATACTCCATTCCTCTTCATCATTCACTTACTACACAATCACTCATATATTCTTCTCTTTTTTCACACTCATATCATCCATCATAGCTGAACACCACTCTGAATTGATGAGCCATTTCCCCTCGTACTTACTAACAATGTTTGTCCTGAGCATGTGCATGACCCAAGCGTCTTTTTGTCATGCCTCTTGAGTTTACCAATCATATTCACTTGTTGTGTTGCAACATCTAATGTATATGAATCTCCTCCACTAGTTCGAATGATAAATCGATTCAGAAATGTGGACCAGCAACTATCGTACACTCCATATTCTGACTCAAAATTGATCTCTGTTTTATTGTTCCGTGCTCGATCTAATAAACATAGACTTTTCCCCTCTGCATGAAGTAACAAAAAGTCGGTGGATGAACCCTCGATATATCTTTCGTCTTTGATCACCTTCGATGGTTTTCTCCCAATCGTTCATAAGCACATCTTCTCGTCGTCAACAATATCTGTTTCACATTGATCAACCCTTTTCAGTCAACTTGTTTAATCTCAATCACAATGCTCGTCGAGTCACTCATCTCAATCTCTTTACTCAGCTTCTTCACTTGATTACTCCAATACTCGATGTCTGTCTCAACATAGCCGTCCTCTTCCATTCTAGATTCAATATCATCGGTGATTTGTCTGAGGCGATGAACTGGTTGATCAAGAAGAAGGTGCACTTGTTCACGTGCTTGCTGAGCAGCATCTTTGATCTGGTCGATGATTGCCTTTTCCCACTCGTTGATCTGGTTGAGTAGCTGTCGTTGTTGTCCATTCTGATCACCCGCCAACTTATGTTTAATTCTTCTATCCAGTTCCTGATGTTCTCGCATGACGAGATTGAGTTCACGTGAAAGCTGTTGTCGATGTTGAGTCATGTCTGGTTTGCAGAAGACTTGCTGACAGCCAATGCATGACAATATGGCTGGCCGTTCGTGACATATGTCACACTTGTTTGAAAGAGATGATCTCCCTGCAACATGCGACATTCGATTTGCGTGTGCTGTACTTGTGTGAAGAACTACATAACACACTTTGTTTTGTGTTGTGATGTATTCTTGATAGAAAGAGAATGGGTGTACACTGACTTCGTTGTAGTGAAGAAACGCACCTCAGTATTTGTTTGCTGATAAGAGTCGTCATAGCATTCAGCTCTCTTGATGAAGCAGTGAAGTTGTTGTGTTCCTTCTTCTTGTGCTTTACACTAAAATGAAACAACGACCGTTCTTCAACTGAAAGATACTGCATGATAGTAGGAAATCGAACATGACACTATGAACAACTTGGTAGTGCTGCAATAATTGAAGGCAGTGAGAAGTCATTATCACTCTTTTATTCTATTATCAGTAATGACTCGATCATTTTAACAGCCATTGTTATGTCTAACGTCGAGTGATCAATACACTCCACAGAAATGTGGACAAGAAATCAACGGAATCATTTAGTCTTGCTGAACTTCGGAATCGGAAACGAATTTTTCTGTCATTTTGGTTTTCTAGAGACCTTGATTTCAGAAATTGCGATGGAACGTTTATATGCACCACATCAGGAAATTCTTTCGGATACTCAAATCCTTTTCAAATTTGTTCTAGGTATTATGGTTGAGAAGAAAAAGTAGAAATAAAGGTGGACGAATAGTTTTTTCAGTCACTGTAATTCTGGCCAAGACGTGGAACTAAATAACAAATATTTAAATTATAGCAAACGTCTTCATCATTTAGTCTTATTATACTATTGCAATTATCTCTCTATCTACTGTGTGCTAAATGCTACCGGACGCTACAAACTTCGGAGGATGGCATATTCCGGATGAACTTTTCTGGGAAAAACAATTTTTTCCATTCAATGTATGTAGAATGGAGGAAGAAAATAAGAATTCTAGCAATTAAGATTACTTAACCAGAATCCTAACTGGTGAATAAACTAGAAAACAAGGAATTTTAGATTGTGCACGAGAATCTTATTCTTTTTATTCTGGCAAAAGGTGGTGAACGTAAGCCAGTTCAAAGCTATTATTCTCAGTCTAATATATTGAAACACATATCTCTTAGTAAAGATAAAACAGTATTTAAAAGTAAACAAAGTGACAAAAAACACGTGAAAGGACAACAGTTGTGATGGAATCAACCCACAGCGATTCTACCGGTAAACATCTTGCTAAGAAAGAATAACAAGATTCAACTAAACTTGGTAAGACAGGTCGATTGCTTGTTATAGGAATTATCAGTAGTTGATGTTATGTTCTTTTATTAGAAAAAGAAAACGATAATTATAAAGTTCTGATGTGATATTAAAAGTAAAAGAAAAATAACTTGGTGGGCAAATACTAAAAGAAAAATAAATTTAGAATGCTCGATTATGAACCACACAAAGACAAATATCATTAAATGTCAAAAAAGATGTGTATAGTGAAACTATGGATTTTAGCGTTTAAAATGTGAACAACTTTGTATTAGTATACTTCTTTTTAATTAGTGTATGAATATGCGATAGCTGGACTAAATGAAACGACATAGTTTAGTTGAACATCATCGTTATAGTGTTCTATACGGTATAGTTTTCTTGATTAATCATATCGGCACATTTCTCTCCTATCATCATACACGTCATACAGGGATTGACCGAGATCATGTCTGGAAATACTGAGGCATCAGCTACTCTCAAATTTTGTATGCCTTTCACTTTCAATCGTCCATCAACAACAGCTAGTTTATCATTCTCCACATCTCCCATTTTGCATGTTCCAGCGGGATGATAGACGGTATTACTCACTTGTCGACAATACTTCGATATTTGTTCATCTGTTTGTATATGTAATCCGGGTGACAGTTCAGTTTTAACCCATTTTTGAAGAGGTGATTGTTCAACAATTTTTCTTGCTAATTTAAAGCCGGCTACCATAACCGTTTCATCATGTTTCTTTTTATCGGTAAAATATTGAAAATCAATTTTTGGTGGATCCAAATAATTATTTGATCTTAGTCGAACATGTCCAGTACTTTTAGCTTTCGTAACATTAGTAGTAATGGAAAAAGCTTGTTTTGATGTTGGATATCCATATGGATGAGTATGCATATCAAATGGTTCCAAACCAAAATGAAACATTAAATCTGGTTTTACGGAATATGATTGAGTTTTAGCGAATAAAACAGTTTCATATCGTTGAATGATTGGCTCAGGTATTGGATAATTTGATTCCCAAATAAGGACACTTTCTGGATGATCAATGAGATTTGAGCCAACTCCTTCCAAATGAAGTACACAAGGAATATTCATTTCTTTTAAGTGTTGTTCGGGTCCCACACCCGATAATAAAAGTAATTTTGGACTATCAAAAGCTCCACCCGATATTATACATTCTTTATTCACTTTAATATATTCATTGTTACTGGTGATAACATGCGTGACACTCATATTATTTGGATCTATAACAAGTTTGATGACCGTTGTGGAGGTTAAAACAGTTAAATTTGGTGGTAACGATGAGAGTGGATGTAAATAAGAACGCGAACTTGAACAACGCGTGGTTAAATCGGTAGCATTCAATTGAGCATATCCACAACAATCAGGAAATTCATTGACGAATGTATCTGAATTCAGTTCCATTTGAGATATGTTTACCAGTTCACAACTATCGATAAATGCTTGATTCAA